CGAGAGGAGGAGCCAGTGGTCCGAACTCCCCGCAAGGAGACCGAGCTCTCCCTTAGGCCCCGAGCCTTACGAACACAAAGGGCAACAACCCGAACTGGCCTGCCCCACGGCAGTTCGAGTCACACTCCTATCCGAACTGAAGACTTAACCTCGCACACCACTCCAGCACTTCACCCCCGGAACACCGAGCTGAACAAACCGTACCTGACACCGAAGGAGTCAATATCCAGGGGTGGCGCGCACCTGACTGACTTGGGATCTGACGCTTGACAGCCGCATTCCAACGGCCACCTGCCACCGCCATCTCCAGTTATAGTGACGGCTCCGACAAGGCGCAGTGGCGGTTCTGTCCCAGCAGAGGTGATGACACCCGAACTGGCAGAAGCACAGGAGTAATCATACCCGACCTGACAGAGGCCTCGGAGTGAGTGCGCGAGGTGGTTATAAAAAGACTCTCTACCCCCCGAGGAAGGTATGTGAACTTTGCGCTATCTGGTTTTATCTTGCCTTTGAGAGAATACTAACTTGGGCTTCGGAGTGATTTCGCCGGGTTCCTCCCCGGAGATTCCCCACCTTCTTCGTTTCAGGGCCCCCTGTTGCTCTAATCAGAGGCAAGATCGTTGACAACTAGGATCGACCGGATTGCGCACCATCAAGAACAATTAACTAAGAAGAAGAGTAACAAACAAGAAGAATAACTTTCACCGTGCACATACTCGACTGTTGAAAACAAAGCAGAAGATGTGTAAACTTGTCTAGATTTGAGAAAGAAGCAACAGAAAAGGAAAAAAAAAACTTATTAGTCGAAGCAACAAACCAGATCTGTGCGTGTATGGGCAATGATGGGTTTATACATCAGATCTGTGAAGCTCAAGTCGGATCTACTCTTACCTTGTTTAGATCTTGAAGGGAAGACTTCAACCTAGATGAAAATCGGACATGAAAATCGATAGGAACCCCAACCGCCGACGACCCAAATGAAGATCTTCAACCCAGATGAAGATCAGCAGGAACCCCGCAACCCAGACGAGATCTAAACATGAAAATAGCAAAACAAAATCAGTTTAAACACAAGAGGAGATTAACATCTACTGATCGCCGACCACCGATGACCATGCCATGGTCGGAGATGGGGGTGACAAAGTTACCATTGGAAGGGAAGGGGGGCGCTGCAGATCTCCTCTCACCCGTCAACCAAACGGCTATATTTTCTTCAACAACACAAATACATACCCTAATTACATCGTCAATTGGAGAGAGCAAGGTTGCATCCAAAAAATCGATGCAGTAATGCACTCTTCAAACAATACAAACTTGTCAGAAAAGAACATTTTTACGCTCATAATCAATGCATCTATGTATCGCAAACAAACACTTGCAAACATGAACCGGAGTACATAAATACCCCGGTTCGGCATTTGTATCACAAACAAACGCAGCCTTACAGGTCACACACCCATCTCATTGCCCTTGTTGGAGCCTTGTATTGGAAATATCTCATGAAAAGAAGAATACAAGTACGTATATGTTCTTGATGTGCGGTGCCTGCAAGGGTTGTCCCTTGTGAGGACCAATTTAGGGACTAAATCTGAACTGGATTGTAGTCGAGGTCAAAAGGAAATGCTCAAAAATCAGCTACTCCCGTTGGAGTAGCACAAGGCTAAAGTTGTGAATGAATCACGACCCTCCATGTATCACTGTAGCCACCCACCCTGAATTGAATTGAATTGAATGAAGTGATAAACTGGGGTGGGTTTATGATTCACTACCCTCTTGTAGGGGTGTCAATTGGACTAGATTTGGTCCATTTACAAATGGACTGGACCAAATCCGGTCAAAATCCTATACAAATCGGATCCAGTCCAATCCAATTGAAATGCAAATGGACCGGATTGTCCAATCCGGTCCAAATTAAATGTTTTCCCTACTTAAAAATCAACATAAAATGTTATGATTTCATTTCACACAAGCAGTTTACTACGTCATATGATCTGATTTGAAAGCCATTAACGTCATCTGAAAGCCATTAAAAGTCAACATAAAAGGATATGATTCCATTTCATACAAGCAGTTTACTGCATCATCTGCCCAGTTCAGTTGTGGGTCACTACCATTAATATCTCAATAAACCTTCTCATCTCTGTGGCTTTATAGTAATCAATTATCAGGGATGATACCAAAATCTATTGGGATTTGTACTAAATTGGAAGAACTCTATCTTACTGAGAACCAGTTAGTTGGAGTTTTGCCTGAGAGCCTAAACAATCTTCAGTTCCTTGCTTACTTGGATGTCAGTTCGAACAGACTTGAGGGCAAGATAAAGTTGGGGGGTTCAGGTAGTTGCAGGAATTTGCAGGAGTTGGTCTTGCTTACAATCAATTTGATGGAGAAATACCATCAGGCTTGGGCAATTGCAGTGGCTTAAGATTCTTGGCAGCTCTGGGTAATAAATTAACAGATCAGATCCCTTCTTCCTTTGGATTACTAACTAAACTGGAGCTACTTTACCTCAATGAGAACTCTTTGTCAGGGGTAATTCCACCAGAGATTGGGACCTGTAGTTCCTTGAAGGAATTACTCTTGCAGAAAAACCAACTCAAAGGCAAAATTCCAAGTGAGTTGGGATCTTTGAGTAAATTAGAGGAACTTGCGTTGTTTACAAACAGATTGACCGGAGAGATTCGAATAAGCATTTGGAAGATTCCAACCCTCAGATATCTCTATGTCTATCAGAACAATTTGTCTGGGGAATTACCTTTAGAGATTCCAAGCCTCAATGTCAGTGATGATGAGGCAGAAAAGGGCCCTAATGCCGCAAAGGCCTTGAGGGCTCAGGTGAATGCTGAAGAAAGAGATGAGCAGACTTCAAGTTAAAGTGGGAGCAGTGAGAACAGCAATGAGAGTGGGAGCGGGAGTGGGAGTAGTAGCAGTGACAATGAAGGGGTTATGAAGGTTCAGTCAATTCTATCTGAAATATCAAAGTAAGGTGGGGTTAACTTTTATTTAAACACCCCAAATAACAGGTCTTAAGATACAATAAAAACAAAAATGTGCTCTGCAATCGATCAAAGGGAAAAACAGAAAAAACAAGTAAATTGTTCCTCCATGTTAGGGAGCATATTTGGATCATGCAGGAATATTTGTGCAGGGTGCTTTAGTGATTTTTACCTACGTTTGTATGGTCTCCAAACTCCCATTAATATCTTTTCATGTCTTTTATAACTCTGGCTTGTAGAATTTGACATAGTAATCCACTGCAACCAATCCCTCATATACCATCACATGTCTACTTCCACAGGCTCTCTAATGAGAGCAACCCTTCAGAGCTTTTTTTCTATTCTATGTACTTGTCAACACATGACCTTACCTTAGAGATCAAGTGTAAGACATCATATGCATAGACTTCACTTAAAATGAAAGAGTAAAAATCCCAAATTGAAAAAATAAATTTAACATCTGAAAGTATAGGCATCAAAGGTCATAATATAAACAAGAAAATCAATTATTTTAGGCAAAAAAAACTTAAACTCTAACCAGTGATGATATTTTTTTGTTAGGTATGTTAAAAAACAAATTTATTGTTCATGGTCCAATCAGTGAAGTGGGTATTCCAATTACATGTCCAACCTAATTTATTGTCCTAAAAGAAATAGAAAGCCTAACCCAAATGATCAAAACCTGGTAATCCCAAACAATAGTTAAATATATGTACAGGGTCATTAGATAACTGTGAATATTGTTGGGAAAATGTTCAAAATATCACAATGTATCAGTGCATATCATACGATATGTATCCCTATTTACTAGGAGATAATAGATCTCCATAAACCCCTCTCAACGTAGCTGTCAGTACATACTAAACTAAACAAACAGAAAGAAAAAATAAATAAAAAACATTTCCCTTTGGAAACTCCCATTTTTCATATCATGAGTTTCTATACAATGAATCATGCATTTGGCTTTCTAAAACAAAAAAAGAAAATAAAAGAAAAAAATCTGAATAAATCTATCACTCTTTTAACTGAATCATGCATTTGGCTAGAATGACTCCCATAGGTACCCAAAGTAGCACTGCCGACACGTTTAATGGTGTAGGCCTTGCCACCGCCCGTCCATCGTGGAAGATTAATGGCTTTGGATAATCCTCTCTCGGCAAGGATGGGGCCTTCTCCTCCACCGGAACAAAATATACTTCCTGCAAGTGACAATGGCTCAAATGTAGGGGAGAGAGAGAGAGAGAGCACATGACATCAGGCATGGTGAAATAACAAAATCAAGTGATCAAACGAAATACTGTCATCCGCCGGCGAGATTGAGGATGGAGCGATGGAGGCGCAGAGGCACTGAACACTAGCCTTCAAAAGCTTCCACACTTGATGCTTCTAGGTTCAAACGAAAATGAACATTGAACGGACCATTCGAACTAGTGGCTTTGTCCACTTTCGGTCCATTCTATGAATAGACTATTCATGTTTGGACCGATCCACGTCCATATCATTTTTAGGACCATCCAATTCGTCCATATCACTTTCGATTCGGACAGTGTCCAACCCAAAACCGGTCCATTGACACCCCAACCCTCTTGCATTTTGATTTATTCCCCCACTTATTCCAACCGTACAAAGTGTACTAAAATTTATGTGGACTTAACGATAAAAACCAATGTCGATTGATATGAATATGATGTTGTCTTTTCTTTCAAACGATGGTTTGTTCCATTTTCATGTGTGCTCAATTTCTTCACGCAAACAAGTGACCGAGCTTCTGGCTTCATTTCAGTGTTTGATTTAGCTCACTGGCCTTAATGAATATCGTTTTTCACCAAAAACAGTATTATTTCCTTGAATTTTCAAACGCCAAAAAATAATTAGACATACTGAAAATGATCACAATATCAAATCCAACAAAAAATCTTTTCTCTCTTTATTCCAATGAATTTGTTCTGTTGTAAATGTAAGATTTAAGGCGTTAATGCAGATAAAACTCTTATGGAACGAAGATGCAAAATTCAAAATTGAGGCATTTTACTGAAGACAAAACAAAATTCAAAAATTATAAAGTTTGCTTGAACAAGTTGAAAAATTCTACCATATCCAACTTGTATCCGTCCGTATCAACCGGTACACATCTTGATACTGTTGACCCTATTCCACCAATGTAGATCAGCTGATACCAATGCCACATGCTGGCCGATCTTGAGAGTACGCTCATTGTATATCAATTGAATACATAGTCTCAACACAAACCTTAAACATATCAGAAATCAGTTCCAAAATCCTCGATTTCAGTGCTACATGTACTCTCTCACAGTTTGTCCATTCCCAACCAAATATATTCCCAATATAAATCGGTTTCGGTTTGAACGTCCTCGATCCATGGATGGACATAAATAGGACTCTTGATCTGTGTATTGAGCACAGAATCATTTCTGAAAACAAATAAATAGGACCCATGGATGGACTTAAATAGTAGCATTTCTACCTTCGCCGCCTCTGTGTCCTTGGCTTCGGGAATTGGAGAGGAACAGGAAGAGTGACCATTAATAACTTGTCAACACGTGATAGCTTACAGCCCAAATTCTGATAATGAAGTCTCAAGGACACGGGCGTCATCCTCAAGTCCTTGGCGATATCAGACATATCAGTGCTGAACTTATCTATAAAGAGAGTGAGCACCAAGACATAGCTGATGAGAAGATCTTGCTTATCATCTGCTAGCCTGTAAGTTTCAGAATTTGCAAACAATGTCAAAAACTTCTGAAGTATGATGGGCGGAAATTTATGGTACTTTGCAGAAGAAGCGCCATCAACAGATCGTTGATCCTTGAACTTTATGAGATGAGTAATATATGATAATATGCAAGCAAGCCTCTTCTTTTCCATCTCATCCTGCAAAAGATTGAATATAGAAAGCATGTTATTCTGGTAAACACCCATCCATGAGCAGATCAAGCAAGAAAGAAGAAGAGAAAATAAAAAGGTTTTATCCATTCATTTTTTTCATCTTAGAAAGGTATACTATTGATAGAGTATTCACCTCCATCGGGGCCATGCTGCACATATGGCAAACTTATAGTGGAGAGGACCCAATATTAGATTTTCCTAATGCAGATCTCAAATGACATTTAGTTAAGATAATCAACGAAGCCTGATCATCTATGATTGGATTCAGATATGCTCAAGAATCATCTGGATTTAATGGCTTTAATTTTCCATCCATAAGATCATCAACCATGAACTCTACTATATTTAGATGGCAAGAAGAATATGAACCAATAGTTCACTAAATGATGTGATTCATGTAGTTGATGCCAATTTTGGGGCAAGTCTGGTTAAAAGATTGGTTAATCAAGTAATGAGGATCTTTGGGGCTTGATGTAATGACATCAATTTATGCTGTACAATGATAGTGACACAGTAAAATAAAATTTTATTGTAGCGGTAGCTTTCACCCATTAAAAATTTACCTGGATTTCCTCTAGTTTATAAATCCGATTGCAAACAAAACTTGGATAAGCATCTGATGAAATTGTAGCCCCACTCTGCAGGAGTTCCAGAACATCTAGAAGGTAGTCCCACTCTCCTTTGAAAATAATTTTGTTCAATGGATAGGCTTTGTCTGGGGTGGTGGCAGTAGGATCATGAGGTGGAACATTCCGAGCAGTATACACAGCAGCAGTTTCCAGAGCATCCTTATTTATAACAAAGCCCTCAATTTTCTTGTCCACAGCATCCTGGCTAATGGGATCTTCTTTTTGTTTCAGGGACTCCATTTTCTTAGCCTGAAATGTTTAATATTGGTTTTTATGTCAATCAAAATTCTCTGAACAATACATGACATGAAATATGAAAAAGAAGAATTCCATATAGTTAGGACAAGGCATGGTTGAGTTGAATTGAGTAGGTACTGAAAAATTACTTGGTAGTCGTGGAGGACCCCAATAAGCAACCCGCCTTTTCTCTGGGTCTACACAGTACGTGTCTGTCTGTGGTTGGGGTTCAGCATCTACCTAAAGAGGCCCTCTAGATTAATAAAAGCCTTGACAGTTGACATGATGATTATAGCCAACAAATCTATGGATAACACTTTTTCCTCCTGCAGGTATTGTCATTGCTTCCCGTATGTCAATACCAAGTCCTGGTCAGGACTTGTTTTCAAGGCTTTTATGGCATGGCCATAATCATCCTTTCAAAGCTCTCTAGGCACTTTTACGAGGAAGCATGCCAATACTCTTCGATACAGGAAAAGAAAACCATCAAGTCAAAACAACACATAGTAGTACTTTATATGCAAAACAGAATTTCATGAAACAAGAAATGCTAACTAGGGGCCTGTTTGACAACAGCTTAAGTATGAGTTATTGCTTTGTCTTTTAGAGGATAAATTTTATGTAATAAAATATTTTGGAGTATAGCAATCAACTCAACATGGATTCAGCCATTATAAAACAAACACTAAGGTGCAACTTAAAATATCTGGCATTTAAAATAAAATATCAGGAATACTTTATAACCATGCATACTGCAATATACATTGCAAGACAAAATGCAAAAATACAAATGTTTGCATTGAATGTTTACATGTAAAGTAAAACCTATTCAAGTGGCAACTCTTAAACAATCAATAAAGGGTAAATCTAGAAAGAAAGATAGCATCATGGATCCAACAACTCCATGGTTGCTAGTCGCAACTACCTATGCAGTTGATCCATGTGAATCCCAGCCCTTGATTTGATCTGAAGTCTCAACAACCTTGAACTAATTGCAGCCTTTGCCAGGATAATGGATTCTGCTGCATAGACAGTAGTGACCAGAGATGCCAGCCCTATCTATCATATTTAATATATGCCCTCAAAGCTCTACTCTTAATCGGACTTCATCCATTAGCCTGAAAGGAGTTTATCTCGAGGAATTTGAAAGGAAAATAGAGACATACCCGGCTTATTGATTTCTTTGTTCCATAGAGATTGGTCAAGTCCCTTATCTTATCTGCTTTCTGTTCTGCTGTAAGATCTTCTTCCTGTAACTCTCCACGAGGTTCCTTATCACTAACTTCTGACCCTCGAACCCTTGGTTCCAACCTGAAGATCTGAAACCACATTCAGATCAAAGTGTAACTAGAATGATTAACCAGAAAACCAAGGATCATGGCAAGGTGCCAACCAGCGGGTTGGTAAGGTCTCCTGCTGGCTGTAGTACAGACTTGGGATGGAATCCCGCTTTCACCTGGGTTGGGGGTATGGGCTACCCCAGTTGTGTAGCCCTTCAAAAGAAATAATAAAGAAAGGAAAAAAAAAAACCAAGGTTCATGTTGAGAATTCTTCAGAACTAAACGAATATGAGACCAAGATCCTTTCAGTATATACAGGAGAGTGGAGCTGTAGATACATTTATATCTACTTACATGCACAACTAAACTATGTTATGTCCTTATACCAATTCTTTAACAAGAAGAATCTGTAGAAGGTTAAACCTTATGAGCACAATACAACCAACAGATAGCTTTTTTTTAAACAGAAAATCAACAGACACGTTCTTTCTCGCAATATCAGCAATTTAATCATGCCCGCGCCAACATAATTCAATCAATAATGCAGGTGCGGTTGAAGTAAAATAATTTAAGAAATATAAACAATAAATAACATAGAAAAGACGAGCATAAGACCACTTAGAAACTAATCAGAAAAAAAAAAATTAAATGCATTTAAAAACAAAATGTTGACCCATAAAACCCAGATAAAGTAACCTTCAGAAGAAAAACGCTTGTTGCATTCAAATATGTAAGTGAAAGAAGAGATGACTTATTACTGAACCATTTCAAATAAAAAAAAAAGAAGAAAAAGAAAAAATCAATAATTCAGACGTATTTTAACGCTAAAATTTTAAAAACTAATGATAAAAACCCATCAAAAATTCACAAAGAATAACCCACAAAAGCGAAAACCCATTTCTACCAAAATAAATAAACAAATAAAACCCATCAAAACCCCCAAAGAATATATTAAAGAATACTTATTGGGTTGGGATATAAAAAGCTGAAAGAAGGGTTACCTTATTGGAGGCAATTGGAACAATCTTCAGCGTTTGAGTTTCTTTATCAAGAACCCCAAGAGCATAGGTACAGACCTGGGCGGCAGCAGCTTCACTCGAATAACTCGTACCCACAAACTCAACCTTCGAACTATTCGGGCTTACGACGAGCTGCAATCGATTTGGCCTGTTCTTGTTGCTGTAAACCCTGACCTTAGTAGAATCTTCCTCTTCTGACCTCTTTGGGTTGAAACCAGAAGGGAAATAACCTACCAAAGGAGGGATCTTGTCTGGATGTTGATGAAAAATCTCCATCTTCACATCTAATCTCTTCCTCTTCTTGTTCTTCTTCGATTCCTCCATTTTTCCCTTTCTAGGGTTTTGTAAGTTCTATTTTTTTTAGGTTATTGATTTTTGAAGGGAGCTCTTTTCTGGTTTCTCGGGGACATTTGAGGGGTTATGGGTTTGGGGATGGGTTATCTCTACAACTAGAAGTGTAAATTGGGTTGTGACACCCGCGACTCGGCACCGCCCAGTAGAATTTTGGACCGGCCTGCCACGATGGTACAATAGTATGGGTTTTAGGTCCACGGGCCAGTACACGTTGCCAGCACAATCCAACATGTGACACGACAAGCGGATCCTTTTACGAAAATACCCCTCAATCAACAGTTATAAGCCTATAAGGGATTAAAGAGGTATTTATGTATTTTGGCTTTGGGAAAAAGAAAAAGACAATAATTCTCCTCCAAGAGATATATCCCATATAACAGATATTTGGGACTTTGGGGGCATTTAGGTAAAGTGATAAAGAATTTATAATAACTAAAGTACCCTTCCAACAACTACAACATGGATAGCTTTTAAGGTATTTGAGCAATTCTCATTACACCAATTCAACAATTCTCATACTCTTAGTTATTTCATACAATCTCATACTGTCATACATTTGGAAATTTAGGAGGCTTTGAGATTTCAATCGTTAAAATCAAGCTGAGATTCTAAACCGGTACCGGTTATTCAAATAAGTGAAACTAAATTAATTTTTTATTTTTAAAACTAAAAAAATGGTCAGTTCCTCCTCCCAAAACCAATTCCCCAACATTAAGTTCACTAGTTTGATTTGAAAAATATTTAAAATAAAAAGGTTGAGGGGAAGGGGAAAAGAGTCATTTGCCAAAAATATAAGATTGATTTTAGCGCTAGTAGCAAAGGTGGTATTGGCCACTTGGACAGACATTTGTTCTTCCATGAGAAATAAGAAAAAGACATCTACTTTAAAGATTTATTGGATGTTGAGAATAAGTTATAAAACAAAGGAGGGCATGACAATGACACAACTACACCTGATGAAAAGTCAAGGAGATGGAGTAATTTTTTCAATTTTATTTAAATTATTTGTTATTTTTTGAACAATGTAACTTTTTATTTTCAATTTGTATTTTTTATATTTTAAATAAAATAAAATTCTTGTTCTTCCAATTTGTTGTCTATTTTGTATTTTGGTTAGTGTTTTTTTCATTTCTTTGTTAGATATTTTTTATTTTTTCAATTTGTTCCCAAAAGAAAAGCTAAGTATTTTAGTTTTACTTAGCAAAAAAAAATAAAAATATCAAAATGTAAAAAAAAAAGTCTAGGCCTTTCTGGCCCGGTTCAGTCTAAGCCCAAGGCTTGACCCATAGCCCCACCTAGGATAGTCCAAGCCCATGGCACAGCCTACGGCCTGCCCGACCCAAACCCATGGCACAACACGATACAAGCTCACGCGGATTTGGGCCAATCCCCCAAATTATCCTAGGGGAGGGAAGCACAACCTGATTTACATCTCTAGATACCTCCATTGTGTATGGAGTCTAATTTCAATTTTTCATTAATCTTGACAGTTGAACTATTTGAGCCATACATACTCAAAATGGAATCTGTTGCAAACATATATACCATGGTTTCTTACTTCGACAGGGTGCAAATATATAAATTTCACCCTTTTAGATACTTTTTTGGACTTATTGCTGATACTAAGTAGCAGTTACAAATTTATATCCATTTTTCATGATATTATGCATGAATCAGATATATCATGACCAATTTTTTAGAAAAAATGGTATATTCCACAAGAAATCTGATAAGCGAGATTTCGAGTAAGTATTTACATAATAATGAGTCACCCATTCCATTGATATCTGGAGGCCAAAACTTTGCCTCGATTGGGCCACTGGGTGATCTTCATATCAATTTTGGATTTTTTTCAACCTATGAATCCCAACACCTTGTTCTGCTATTATTTTTCAAAAAGAAAAACTTTTTTTTATCTCAAATCTCAAAATTTAGCACTTTTTATAAATAAAAAATATAAATTAAACATAAAATATGATACATATATGTACATATGAATTTACCAGATCGGCTTTATGTTTCCGTTTCTGTGTTCATATTATTAGTTTGTTTAGCTTTCCCTTTTCTCCGACTTTTCATATTAAATTCTTGATCATAAATACTTCATTTGCTGCTATAATGAATTTACGGCAGCCTCAACAAATGGTAAATCAAACCATCCATCCGTAAACCTTGGCGCTTGGGGTGTTACGGTTTTTCTTTATGAAAACAAAAATAGGTGTCAATTGGCGAGCACCCCTGACCCCCCTAATTGGAAGAGGTTGAATAATGTCTTCAGTATAGAAAATTAGGGTAGGGGTGATCGATCCAGCCTGGGCCTAAAAAGCCTAGATTGAATAATATTTTAATTTACCTAGGTGGTGCTACATGGTTTCGAAAACAGGATTGGACCAGATGGTCGGACTATTTGACCTAAGAACCGGTCATGGCTTTGGGTATGGGTTTAGACTATATAACTGTTTGTTYGAGGTTCCAGACTGTTTGACCTAGGAACCGGTGGTCAAATCTGTTCTATTTTCAGTTTGGTTTTTAAAATCATTGGTGTTAAGTAGAAATTTGGTTAGGTTTGAATTTAGGGTAGGGGTGATAATCATTTTCAGCACAGTCTGGGCCCAAACTCATATCCAGCTTACAAATTTTAGGGTCAGGTCTGGGCTCAATACTTCAAGCCTAGCCTGCCTATACACACGCACACACATACATACACTTAATGTTTTTTACACATAAAAGCTATAARCCCAAAATCAAGTCCAGGCCGAGTTGAGCTTGGGTCCAAGTTAAAACCCTTATATTTAGGCTGCAAATTGAGTTGCCAAATTTAAAGAATTTCAACTATGTCTAGCTAGGGTTTTGTCTTTTAACATTACTTTGGGTCATATCTAGGATCCATTTTATGGTTGGCCTTGGTTTAGCACTCTTAAACTAGCCCAATCCATTAATTTTATACCCGTATCTCATCAGAGAGACCAAAAGGGGTTAAGAGAGTTAGAGAGATTTTTGTAAAAAAAGAAAAAGCATTAGAAAACTTAAAAGGAAATGAGGGATTTAATGAGAGAGAAAGAAAGAGAATAATAATGAATTTTATTAAAAACAATTAAGCCGTGAGAGAGTTTTTATTTTGACTTCTTATAGTTTTGATAATCTATACTATTATAAAAAGTACGAATGAGGGTGTTGAACTTTTCTTGACTAAAATGACCATATTTGTTATTTAGTCCATCCCTAATTATGAATGTTGAAAATATAATTTCAATTAATGCTTTTCACCTCATTTAATCCCTTCTCATTAATTCTTATATTTAAGGTATTAACCCACATTCTCTCTTATTAAATTCTATATTTTAAGTTATTTTTTTCACTAATTAGATCTATGCCCAATACTTTTAACAATATAAATCCATATATTTTAAAATTTACTCAAAAACAAAACCATTCTTTACCCAAGTAATGACTAAGCAATTCAACCATCTGAATCAAATTGGGCAATCCATGAAGTCATAGTTAGATAATAAAATTTTTAAATAGAAATAAATATAGAAAACTACAAAAGTATAAAAAATAGACACATTTATGATATTTTTATTGATCAAATTAAAAAAAAAAGTGTAATAAACAAGAATTGATTTTATTGATGATGAAAATGAAATACATAATCTAAAACTAACCAAAAATAAAATCATTTTCCTTTTTAGTAGATATTAATAGTTCAACTTTTGGGTCAAATTTGTCAACCTTTAATGTCATAATTAAATAATAAAAATTAATAAAATATCAAAAACACAAAAATGAAAAAAAATACATAAGTTTTACAAAAAAAACATTTGGGCACATGTACAATATCATATATTTATCATATTAAACAAAAAATAAGTGTATATAATAGTATTATTTTTACACACATAGAAATAAAAAAAAATTATAGAAAAAATTGAATACATCTGTAACTCCATATTTACACTACTATTAAAAATTTGAATAAGATTGTAGAGCTTTCTTTTGACTAAAATACCCATTTTTCGAATTTAATCCCTATTTAATTGTGAGGTTTAAAATGTAGTTTGAACTATAATTTTCACCTTATTCAATTCCCTCTCTTTAAATCTTACATTTTTTTTTATAAATGAACAAAAAGACACTAAGAAGATAAAACATTACAAATAGAAGACCACCATGTAGGTAGACTATCAATGATACCCAAAACTTTGCAACCCAATATGAAATGCTACATAATCAGATTTGGATTTTGCAATATGTATCTGATTAATAGTAAAAATAAAAAATAAAAAATACATGAATTTTGTAATAAATTTTGGATGTACCATTACTATCATTATCACGACCTAGAATTCTCACGTGTAAAGCACATACACATTTACTAGTTTATTTTAAAAATAACTACCCTCAAGCGCTCTACCAATTAAAGCCTCATAATGAAAGTAAAGAATAGCAACCCATTTATTGATATTAATTTTCTTATGAGACAGTATCAAATCTTAATATGCATCTTGGTTTAAGCAAGAATCTGCATCTAAGTTTAAGCTTTCTCTTGCACTTGCTAGGCATAAAATGGATACCAGCGTTCTGTAATTGAAAGGTAAGGTATTTTCATTCAGTTGTTTAACACAAATTAACAGTGTAGGCAAAACAAACGCCCGTTCTGAAAATGCATCCTATGGAAATAACTTAACACCATAAACTCAAACTCTCGTGTTGCCTAAATAATATTAACACATCTCAAGCTTAAAGGAAAAAATAAACCAAAAGAATATGATGCTCCTTCATTTTTTAAGGTTTCTAGAAAATAATGCCATACTTTTGGGCCTTAATAACTGTATAGAAATTAGCCTTCTCGGATAATTTCTTATTAAAAGCTTGTATACAAAATATATGCATTTTTTGTAGTTTTCAACAAAAAGCTTAGTGAATGAAGATTGTAGGTACCATAGACTCCATGTTCACAATAGCTTGGTCAAGCCTCCGAATGTCCAAAAGGATAGTTGTGAAGAGAGAAGGGAACCAAAGAAACCCTAGGGTGTTTGCTCAATCGCCTACGAGATGCCACATCATAGCTTGCTATAATCAGAAGGAATGCCTATCTCCCATAGGCGGGTGTTGCCGACCTTGGGGTCTATCCACCATTCATTTCAGCATGGGCTGTCATTTCGTGTCCATCGCAAGGCGCTAGTAGTGTATTGGGTTTGTCATAGACTAGTGGTGTCATTTTATGTCCATCGCAAGTCTCAAGCGATACTCATTACTCATCACAGTCTCCCAAGAGGTGTTCTATGCTCATCGTAAGTCTTGGATGGCCCTCTATGCTCATTGCAGATGTATGAGCTTCCCATCATTTTGATCGAGTGTTTTTGTACCATTGTAGGGGTATCCAAGCCAGGATTCCTCCATATGATTTTTTCTTTGGCATCCTCATTGTAATCCCAGTGATGGTAAACTACATGTACTTACAAAGATACTTTCAAGGGCCTACTTAAAAAAAGAGATACTCTCAAAGCAAAATAAACAAAATTTCATGTATCATGCATGCAAATAATGTAAATTTCAAAATAAATAAATATAAGGTTTAAATTTAAATATATGATTATATTTATATTAACTTTTTAATTGCGTAATGATTCAATTAAATGGTATGATTTATACTGTATTAATCAATCATTAATTCAAAAAAGTTAAAAAGAACTAAGGGTAAATCCCTTAAATTTCCCTTGGGTTTTCTAAAAAGGTCTTAAACCACCCCTCAACTTTGACATGCCCTTATACCTCCCCGGACCTTTGGGGATAAAGGGATTTATACACCCTTTCTGTTATTTTACTGTTAGAAATCCAATAAAAACTGCTGATGTCATGGTAAACATATTATTATACCAGTTTTGCCCTTATGCAAAATCATCAAATGTTTAATAACTGAAATATCCTTAAACCTTTAACATAAAAATACCCTTAATAAATCTTTAAAAAAATAAATAAAATATCCTTAATCCTCTCTTTACCCCCAAATGGGTTTATTTATGTCGAAAAATTGAAATACTAAAATATAATAATATATTTACTCGTATTAACAATTTAAGGGTAAAGTTGGAATTATGAAAAATCTACTAACTTGATAAGAAGAATTAGTATGGGCATAATAGATATTTGACGTCTTTGTCCACTTACCAACTGGTTGGTAAGGTCTCCTGTTGGTCGTAGCGGAGACTTGGGATCTCGGTTGGGGGATGGGCTACCTCCCTGTTGTGTAGCCCTTCAAAAGAAAAAAAAAAAAGGCCTATAAATCTCTTTGTCCCCGAAAGTAGAAAGGTTTAAGGACAGGTCAAAGTTGAAGGCCTTTTCAGAAAACCCAAGAGAGATTTAAAGGGATGGAAAATTTCCCGATTAGTACCCTGTACTTTGGGTCTAGTGCCAATTTGGTCCCCAAACTTTAAAACACGACAATCCAGTACCTAAACTTTCAAAATGCGACAACCCAGTACATGTCGTTAATCCACCGTTAAGTAGCATGTGAAAAGACACAAATGCCGTCTAGGTGTCATCTAATTTTCTTTACCAACCATCCAAATGCCCTTCTCAAAACTAATACACTGTTCATTATCTTCTTCCTCAAGAAGATGAAATAAGTTTTTGAAATTCACTCCACAAAGTAGGACGAGTTCTTATTTTGCAAATTGATCAACTGCTCGTCCACTTAGTGTTCACCTTACCTCTGAACATAGCTGAGGTAGTAAGATAGCGGCCATGGTGAGGGTCATCAGCACACATCATGTTCTTGACATCCCACAACTACTAGTTAACTCTGGGACAGTTCAGAGGGGGAATGGAGACGGGGGCAAATCCAACCATAAAGAAGTGGAGACGGGGGAATGGAATTAAGTTCACAACAAGCTTCCTCATATGAGAGTTCAGCTGCCCAAGGAACATGAGACAACGGGTGACACCACTCATGGTTGTGGTGATCAAATGGTTCAGACCGCAGAAGCCGGTAGTAGTAAGCTTGAGAATCATGAAGCAAATATCATACAAAGCTTCATTATCAACAACCATACACTCATTTGTGTTTTCTACAAGCTAATGAACAGAAAAGGGTTGCATTGTATGGCTCAACCACCGTATCCGAAAACCTTTGGGGAGGGGAAGACAGAAAATGCGAGCATCACCTGGTCAGGGTACTCTTCCCTTATCCTTGAAATGAGCAAAGAACCTGATGAGGGTGGATTTGGCCCTCCAATAACCTCATGGCACATGGAATCCCAAAACAATTGGATGACACCCAAACGCCACCTAAGCAATGATTTAGAGTCTCAGATCATAGTTCGTCTTCGCCCCGACCTGGTAACCTGCCTTTACTGCCAAACTGGCGACCTCAACCACAACTTAGGTCGGCTTGCAACACCTCGTCCAGGGTCAGCTTGTAGCACCTTGTCTCTGGCCAAAGTGACCTTAACGCGAGGAGCGACCTCCCTCGAGGGATTGCTGACCTGACTGGGGACCAGGCAGTGACCTACGGGATGTGCTTGCCGATAAATTCGGCATGCATATCCCGACGGTCCTATGTTTCTCGAAAGTTGGCCCACGTACCGAGTGTTCCGGAGGATGGTCAAAATGCCTGGCGGTTACCTCCGAGGATTTCATACCGGTTAGGCACGACCACCCAGAAATCTCGGATGCAGTGTGTGAGGCCCACACCAAACAAAGCCTATATAAAGGCACCAACCCCAATGACACAATGAAAGGCAAGTAAGCACATTCTAGCTCTCATACTTTCTGATTTTTTAACTCGCGATCTACTACGAGAGTACTAAATCATCGGAGCGACCTCACCGGGTTAGCCACCACGGGTCCTCTAACATTGATTCCTTGCAGGTTTCTCTAAAGAGCTACTTAGTTCGGCACCCAATCTACCCCCCAATTCGACGTAGTCAGCTCAGCATCCAAGTCCTCATCCAACAAAAATCCTCCACTTTGGCCTCTGAGTCATCGGCCACTTGGAAGTAGTCTGAACAACAGGGTGCTGCCAAAACGACCTTCATCAGTACCCATACCAGAACCAGTTCCTCCACCTAGAGAGTGACAAAGTTGAAATCCCTGAAGACAATCACAACTCTTAGCCTCCTTCTTCAAGAAGTTAAGAACGGAATCAATAAGCTCTGCAAGCACCCTTCATCTCTCTCTCTCTCTCTCTCTCTCGTCTTGTCTCTCTCCAGCAGTCTCTCTTCAAGATCTGATTTAGGTTACTTAGCATTGTTTTAGTCTCAAGGTAGAAGATAATGAGCAGTGTTTTTAGAAGGATAGTTTTGACATTTTAAAACTTTAAAATCACACATGTCATCATGTGATATGAATAATTGATGGACTAGTGACCATAGGTACTAAATTGACACATTTTAAAAATTCCAATACTAGATTATCACATTTTAAAATTCGAGGACAAAAATGACATTAGGCCCAAAGTACATGGCACTAATAGAAAATTTTTTCTTGAGGGGTTTACCCAAAAGCAAACAATACATCCTCCAAAATGCATCAATTTTCATGGTCAGAGGGTATTTTTTTTTGGAGAATGACCGATCAGTCCAGATCAGAATTTTATAGCCCCAAAGTAGAGGGAAAATGTATCCTGACCATGAATTGATGCCAAATTCACGGACAGAATGTGGTTTATAGGAAAAAGGGCTAGTAATAGGGTGAGGGGAGCTGGAAGTCAGAATTCTGCATTGTATGTATCCGTACTTGTCCGTATTTTTTTTGGTAATAAACTACAGGGTATCTGACTGCATTATCATTTTAATAGACTAGCTATTACCGTACTACGCTCCATGGTGACTGGCGACAGATTTGAGTTACACGTGGTATTACCGTATTGATATTCAAGAAAAAACTCACCTCCGCGAGAGACTTCATCTATATATGCTTCTTCTTCTCTGATTTTGGCAGTTGCATAATTGCATTCTCTTTATCTTGACCTCATGTGATGTGAACGTACAAAATAATGCAAGAGATCAGGCAACAATGGTACACGTTCAATGTCCAAGTCTGAACTGCTTCAAGCTTGTTTTAAGTGGAAAAATAAATAAAAAATCTGAATTGTGTTGGATTTAGTTGACTGTGTACCGTATGAAAGGCATTCGGAATCGTTAGACCATTTAATTTGCATCACAAATTTTCTCATGAGATTTGATCCAAGTTGTGGAACCTTTCAGGTTCAGTAGCGGAGTTCTTGAAGAGTTGGTGGGTAGAGGGCTGTCTAAAGGGGGGAAGGATGGTCAGAGGTTTTTCGATACACACCTACAGGGGGTGTTTCGAAGTCTCGACCAGTTTAGAGGGTGAAAGGACCTTAAACCGACTCCTCTAAACCAGATTCAAAAAAATATATCAATACTGCCCAATAAACCACTACCGGCGTATCGGACATCCTTGGTCTAGAATTTGGTCCCGGCTGTGATTTTTTTGGTGGTTGTATAATTGTTGTGACTTATGAGCGACTTCAGCAACTTGTACATGTTTTGTTTTATTTCTAATTTATATTACCATACCTTCTTTCAAAAAAATAATAAATGGAAATTTCTATACAAGATAGATTTGTGACTCTCTTCAAAGAAACCAAATGGAAATTGCAAGGATGAGACACAAATCTAGAAATGGTCCAGCATTTTCCTGTTGGTGATTATAAAAAGGATTGTAGGGAATCTAATTAATAGAAGATACAAAAATATAGATGCTTAATTACAAAAAAGAAAAAAAACATCCATGGAAACTTGCTTTGTTTTGGACACTCTTGCAAGGAAAAATAATAACTTCCATCGCTACCCTTCCCAGTTGAAGACAATAAGTCCCCTTTTCATTCTGTAATCAAAGCAACCAAAACACAGCACTCGCCAAGGATCGGACTGTGTGCAACTTAAAACGTGTAATCCTGTACGTCTGGTTCATCTGCTCGTCGAGATCCTCCTTGTTCATCTCCAGTTGTTCTCTTGCTCATGTTTGCTCGCTGCACTAGCCGAACCAATGCTTGCACGACTTCAGACATAGGTGGTCGGAATTCTGGTTCCGGCTGCATAATAAGCATGATTTCAAGATATCAGAAAAATCAAGGCTCTGTAGGGTACAAATGGTAGCATTCAATAACGATGATAACATGAGATCACATCTCTCAGTTTCTGATTGATATACTTCCTAACATCTTACCTGGACACACAGTGCTATGATGTCAGCAAACCGAGAAAGAGATTTGGCAGGGTACAGTCCTTTAAGTGCTGGGTCAACCATTTTATCCAAAGCATCAATGTCATGGAGCTGAGGTGTTGCCCATCGAACCAAAGATTGCTCAGATCTCTGCCTTGAGCTGTCCGAAGCATCAAGTAATAGTTAGGGACAAGGAAATATGAGCAAATCTATTTACAGGAAAAATAGTTAAATGACTATTCAAGTTTTACCTGTCAAATGGTTTCCGACCAGTAAGAAGCTCCAACATAACCACTCCAAAGCTGTACACATCACTCTTAAGAGTATACTGGCCAGACATGGCAACCTCAGGAGCATCGTATCCAGACCCCGCATTATGGTTCAGTGCCTGCAAAAGCCAAAAAGAGATGGGGTAGATGTCAGAAGTAGAACCCCCCAACCCTAACCATTGACAGGAAAAGCTAATAACAACCAAAAAATTGTAACGGACACCAAATCCAGACCTCAAAACCAATGAAACTGGTAGACTGGGGTTCTTAAAATTCCCAATCATCAGTGAGAATGATTTCCTTGACATGATTTTTCCATACACATGCATTGGCACTCTAAACTATGGTGATATGGTGGTGTAAGGAGACTCGAAGGTGGTCATGGAAAGGATGAAAAACTATGAAGGCTTTTGGAAGAGAAGTGCAACAATTGTCTAGGGAGCTGAAGGCAACTTTCAATTGGATTCAAACATCAGCCCATCAAAACTGAATTTTGATGGGAGATGTGTGGGTAATCCAGACCCCTTAGGCATAGGAGGGGTCATTAGGAATGAGGAAGGAAACATCTTAACTTTATAATCAGGACCTGCAGAACAAGGTGATGTGGCATGATGGCTTTTGGAAGAGAAGTGCAACAATTGTATAGGGAGCTGAAGGCAACTTTCAATTGGATTCAAACATCAGCCCATCAAAATTCTGATGGGAGATGTGTGGGTAATCCAGGCCCCTCAGGCATAGGAGGGGTCATTAGGGATGAGGAAGGAAACATCGTAACTTTATAATTGGGACCTAATGGTGTCTTGCCACTTCGCGAGGTCATTGTGGGATTGGGCTTTCTCCTTATTTGGATGCAGCTGGAATCCCCCATCAGACATGCAGGGCCTTTTCTC